AGCGGGCAGATGTGCAGGGAGTTCATGTTCTTCTTGTGCAGCAGGAGGCCGGTGTCCAGGATGCGTGCGCTCACCATCAGGCGCAGGAACATCGGGTTGGGGGCCGCCGCAGTGATGATCCGAGGGGGAGCTCTCTGCAATATCCACAGGGCAGGTAGCCGCATGAGCCCCGTGTAACGCGCGCTCAGGGACGCCCGGTGGGGTTTGGGAGCCGTCGCTCTCCATGGGAGTGTCCTCGAGATCGCCCAACATGCTGTCAATTCGCTCCATGGCGAGTTCAATGCGCTCCAGGAAGCTGGCCCTGGGGGCATCGTGTTCGGAATTCTCCTCGCGGAACTTGAGTTCCCACCTCGCGGAAACCGACCAGTTGAGAGATGACGCGCAGGAGGGGCGTGCGCTGCAGCATCAGCAGGGGGCAGGTTACCAAGGAGAGCTTGCGCAACCAGCATCTCATCTTGACTGGCGCCCAGCTGCTGTTGAGGAGCCTCACCCTCCCCCCTTCAGTCGCCAGCCAAGGAGTCCGCATCCGCGTGCAGCTCTAAGAACTCAGGGTCAGCCCCAAAAGCATCTTCAACGTCGGAGTCAGGAAGAGGGCCGCCGCCGTCCTCAGCAGGCAGCGCAGCTTCATCCTCGATCGCGTTGCAGGGGTTGTCCAAGAGTCAGCGCACCAGCGCGCGCTTGTCCGTGGATACCGAAGGGTTCAGCATGTCCTAGGCTTGAAGAACATGAGCGCGTTGGTCAGCTGGAAGCGCATCTGGGTGCTCAGCTTGCGGAGGGCATGCCAGCGGCGTAGATGATGATGGCGACGTCGTTCACGACGGCAAAGTCGAGCAGAGAGAGAGAGAGAGAGAGAGAGAGAGAGAAAGAGAGAGAGAGAGAGAGAGAGACTGAAAGAGAGAGAGAGAGAAAGAGAGAGAGAGAGAGAGAGAAAAAGCTTCAAGTGCGAGCTGGCGCGCTTGTGCAGTAAACGGCAAGAACCTGCTTGTATGGAACCCAACGCGCCTAGGCCCAGTGCCAGCGGCCAGGGGGCCCAACAGACCTTGAGCATCTCCGGGGACTTGTAGAACATCATCTTCAGCAGGAAGCACTTGTGCACCAGGGGGCTGAAGAGCAAGATGCGCTGGTGCCCCAGGTGCAGCAGGTGGGGGCTGTCCAGGGGGTGCGTGCGCAGCATCAGGAGGCCCACATATTGAAACTCGCCATCGTGTTGAGTCGACGAGGTGCTCCCCGGCCAATGGCGTCACGGGGCCAGAAGGAGGCGCAGGTGCGCCGCGCGCAGCAGGAGGCAGGCGTCAAGGAGCCACGAGTGCGACATCATGAGCGTGTGCTGCTGGTTGTGGTTCAACGGCGTGGCGTGTGGAGAGGGCGTCCTCAGCCGCGCCCGCAGAGTTGCCGGTGGGGAGAAAATCTTGGACCGATCGGACTGGGGAGCCAGGGGGTGTCGAGAATCCTCCTACCCCCATAAGCGAATGCTCAAAGTCGCCGCCCTCCCTGTGGTCATACTGGGCAAGCCCGCCGCGAAACGTTGAACGCGAGGGCAAGGGCAAAGTCTGCAGAGCCGATGGCATCGTTGAGGCAGCAGAGGAGGTTGTTGATTCGAGCCGTCGGAGAACGTCAGCATCTGCTCCTGGCGGCGGAGGGCCAGGTGAGCTCGCCGCAGGCCACGATGGAGATGTGCCAGTCGATGTCGGCGGATGACCTAGCCGCGCTGTGGGTGGAGGTGGTCGCGGGTCGAAGAGTTGCGAACACTCCTCCTCCGTCATGGCGCCATCCTTGTAGAAGGGCGGCGCGGGAGGGGCTCGGCGAGCCTCGGCGCGAATCTCATCCATCACCTCCAAGTCAGCGACCGTGGGCGACGGGTGCTCTGTCCCGCCGGCTCCATGCTGGGCATCAAGCTCCGTCTCGTTCGGGAAGTCCTCATCCTCAGTCGAGTTCAGTAGATCCTTGGGCGCTGGCTCCGTTGGGTCGAGATCCGGGTCGTCGAGGGCGCAGGCCGCGAGTGGCAGCCAGTGCGGCAACTCCTTCGCTAAGTGCAGGCATCAGCCTCGAGTTGCGCCTGTGCTGCAGGGCACCGCCCCGCGCTTGCTCGCTGAGGAAACGCGTGCGCAGGTCCATGGGCATCCTAGAGGGGTCAGGGTGCCAGTCGAGCATGATGTAGTGCATCTTGGCAAGCCTCAGCATCAAGCGAAGTATCTCACTGGGAGGAAGGTAGGGCGTCCAGAAGCTGCCGACTGATGCTTTCCCTGGAGAGCGATGCTGTGCCAGCTAGCCATGCAAATCTCTTCAGCAGCCCGACGGCGCAGACGGTCAGAGCATCCTCCGACGTGGGCGGCGATGCTGGCGAAGTGGCCAGCGAAGCTGGAATAGCGCAGCAGCCCGAAGACGCAGTCGACGCACTGGGCCATCCAGGTCGCGAAGTTGTCACCGCCGCGCTCGCGATTTGGACGGCAACCAGCTGCTGGCCCAATTAATCAGCTCGCGTCAGAGGTCAAGAGCGCGCTGTGCAGCGTCGGGCGCGCGCGCGTCCACGGCCCAGTGCAGGTCGACGTGGCCCACGACTGCGCTGGACTGGGGTGGGACATTGCACCCGCTCTGGCCGAGTGGAGCCAGTGGGGGGCCACGCAGGCGGTCATCGTGCGCAGCCGCCTGCAGATGGAGCAGGTCACCAGGGCGCTCAGCCGCGACCGTGACAGACGGCATGCAAGGCGGGAAGTCGCAGTCCTCCTCCACGAACTCGGGGGGAAGGACGTCAGAGGCCACCGCCGCCTTCGAAGGAGGAGCCGCTCCCGGAGATCTCGACATGCAGTCAGAGTCAGATCAAGGAGTGCGGCAACGAATCCATTGCAATGGCAACCTCAACGATCGCAATGTCCAGCTCCAATGGTGATGAACCAGGGTAACTGTGTGACGCCGACGACGAAGACTCATAAGTTGAGCTGGATGACGTCGAGGATGAGCTGCGCGAGGCCGCGCTCTGCCCCTGATGGCGCTGCGCGCGAAGGCCAAATCAGATCGGTGCCCTCGAGGGGGGGGGCCCAGCAGCTCCATGGGGCCAGGCAAGAGAGGAGGGCCCGTGCGCAGCACTGACGTAGGTGTACTACATGGCGACGATGTCGAAGATGATGCGACCCGTCCCAGCAGCGCTGCCAAAGAGCCCGAGCCTCCTCATGGCAGTAGCGGGCCGCGTATAGCCAAGCTCCTCCTCGATCGGGCGGCGGAAAGGGGCGCGCTTAGTGGTGTTTGAATGCGTCGGGGGAAGTCTATGCGACGTGGACCAGCCGTTGGCAGCGGTCTTGACGTAGGCGAAAGCCCATGGCATAGAGCATCCTATGAGGTGGTGTAGCAGATGATCCCAGCGATGGGGGGGGGGGGGGAATGCGACGCCGACCTTCGGCGTGCGTCTCAGGGGACGTCCTGCCGAGTCTGGCCACGGCGCCGTCCCGCGAGGGTTGCGGTGTGAGGCATGCCTTGATAGAGCCATTCACGAGGCGCTGGGGCCCAGAACGAGCCGGGTTAGCAAACCAGTCCGCAACCACCTCTCGCGCCGCAGACCACTGTTGCCCGCCAGGCGCGTGCGGAGCTTCACCGTGATTGACGGGGCGAGCCAGCGCGAGCTCTCGTCGGCGGCGGGGCCAAGGACGAGGCCGAGGTAGACCCGCGTGCCGACAATATGAATCCGCGCGGAGAGCGGGACAATCGAGGTGAGAGCCTGGCGCGCGATCGCGAACATCTCCTCCGAGAACGGCGCGTGGAACGGGGCCAACGTGCACGTGGTGAGTTTCAGCGACAGCGTGGCGATGGCCTCTGCAATTTGCATCGCATCAGCGATCGCCCTGGGAGCCTGCAACTGCCTGACTGCACAGCAAATGTTATCTGCGCCGGCACAGACCAACCGAAGCTGGGCGGCTTCATGTCGGGCTTGAAAGTCAAAATAGAAGCAGGCCGTGACTGCAGCGCAGATGGGGCCGCCCAGGGGGCACCATCACCATGAAGGACTGTGCAAGGCTCGGGAAGGCAGCGCCGATATCCAGAGCAACAAATGCTGGAGTATCACGCGCAGCTGTGAGTTCGAGAATGCGCGTGCACTAACATCGAGCTCGAGCACGTTGACACCATAGTTGCGCTTCGGGATGAATCCCCGCAGGGGGCCGTGGGGGCCAGTTCATGAGAAACATGCTGAATTGGAGGTTGATGGTGGCCGCGGTGATCTTGATGCCCGCGTTGCGAAGGCCAAGGGCGCGCGCTGCGCCAGGAATGCGGACGAGCTCATCAGCCGGCGAGTCGTCAACTTCCCTGCTTTTCGGAAGCCGGCCTTGCAACGTGCAGGTGGAGCTGTGAAAAAGGGCCTGCCCACTCATGATCCACATCATCGCGTCAGATAGGGCGCCAAGTCCAATGGAGGGAACTGCCCGGGCTGAATAGGGGATAGAGTCACATCCGGGCTCCGAGTAGTGCATCTTCATGGCGACCTGACGGAGTAGCCCAGGCGAAGGGAGAGCCACCTTGGAGAAGTCCATAATGGGGTGCTGCTCGACGTAGGATTGCGCAATGTCCATGGCGATCGGCGAGGCTGTGAAAATTGGAGCCCAGTGCTCGATCAGGCGCTCTATCACCAGGGTAGCATCGCTGGTGGTATTGTTGGGCTCGGACGGATGTTTGACAACACGAAGCGCCAGTCGACGGTTGAGATTGGGCCAGATAGCCGAGCGGCGCGCCAGCGCCGCCAGTTGGTGACGACGGGCCCTTGGAGCGCGGGGGCGGGCGAGTTGTTCCTCGAGGCGCGACCGAAGCCCATCTGCGCGTCGAACTTGTATGCTGTCGTGCCAATGTTGGAAGGAAGCGTCGCGACGAAGTCGAACCCTTTGGTCGCATGCGCCCAGGAATGCGTGAGCGGATTTGTGGTTGCTGGCGAGCTTCTTAGCCTGCTTCGCGCCGCTCCTCCGCGCAGCTCTTGCCATCTGTCTCTCCAGTGAGAGTAGCGTGGGCGTGGCTTCTGGGGCGTCCGCGAAAAGGCGGTTGCGAATGTCCGCAGCGACTTCCTTGATAGCCCACTTGTGCAGCTCGATCTGCCGCGGGGGGGGGCTCTCCCCTTTGTGGTTGAGCTGCTTGCAGGCGCTCTGCAGCTGCTTCTGGAAGAGCCCGGACTCGATCAGATGACGAGGTTTACGATGTGCATTGTGCGGCTTGGCAACGCGCCGGGTGAGGTTGACCGCGCGCGCCGCGTGGTCACTGATCAAATGGCCGGAGAGATCCTTGGGGTAGCCTTTCACTCACGGTTTGGAGGTGAGCTGAGCGAGCGCCCGCCCAGGCCAGCTGACCCGCCATCTGCCCATGATCGAAATCGCGTGCGAGTTCGTTCTTGTCGCGGCGAGTAGGCTCGCCCGACGAGATTTCGGTCAGAAGGCGGGGGGCGTGGGTCCAGAGAGCAGCTCGTGCATGTTGACCTTTGCCTGCAACGAGATGGCGGTGGGGCTGGCGCAAGAGCGGCGGGGCCCTCGGCGCGAAGTTCATGTCGCCGTGGACGACCGCCAGGTTGTGGAGAGGGCCAGCTTGCTCAGTCTTCACGTCAGCTGCCAAAACTTTCGAAAACGGATGGAGCTGCGCGACTGTGAGCTCGTGGATGTGCACATTAAAAGAAACAGTGCGGATGATCTCCACGTGCAACGCTACGCGTAGCACTCGCCCAGGCACAAGAGAAGGCTGCGAAACTTCCGCCTCGCAGCCCGCTGGAGGACAAATAGCCGCGCCACCCTTGACTGCAGATCCCACGCAGTAGCTGGTGTAGATGCGGGCGGGCGGCGCCGCTTCGGCGATGAAGTCAGCCAGCTGCGCCTCGGCCTGGTGCGCCTCCTGCAGGGTCACCGTGCCGTGCGCGAGGTCTCGGAGCTTGAGGTGGGCGGGTTCCGGCTTCGCATGGGCCCCGCGGCACTGCGGCAGCGCGCGAGTGTTCCACGATGAGGACGAGAGGGTCGGCGGCCCAGCCAATCGGCCGTGAATGGCAGCAGCAAGCCCTTGAAAGACTCCACTCGGCTGTCTCAGGCGGCGCGATGATCGACTTGGCGGCCCCAGCAAGGCGCTCCTTAGGGAGGCCGAACTTCTGGGCAATGTTGTCGGCCCGCGATTTCCGAAGCGATGTTGCCAAAGTTCGGCACGATGCGTAGGATGGGGCCCCATCCGGCCATGAAGTGTCCACAGTCGCGGTCAAAGAAGCACCTCCTGGAGCCTTGGATCTTATATTTGACATGCCTCGGGATCTTGTCCGCGCCGATGTGGAGCGTAGCCTGAAGGTTGTCCATCGCCGCGACCTCTAAGCGTTTCCTGTGGCCACCGGCGATTCTCTGCGCGCCGAGGACCTGCGCGACACGCCTAGCAGTTGGGCCGACAGCGCCCGTTAACTGGATCGTGAAGTGGCGGGCGATGTTCTCGGCGGCAGAGATGGTGAAATACTTGACCTCGGCATTCCAGTCGGAGGGGACCTGCTGGATGGACTCAAACCTGACGAATTTGGAAGCCATGACTCTGATGATACTCGCGTCGACGTCACGGTCGAAACCAGCAGCGCTGGCAGGAGCGGGCGTTGGCTTAGCGTTAACGAGTACCAGAGCGCCCCGCAGCTCTTGAATCTGTTCTCGGAGGGTATGAAGACTGCGTCGATCTCGTCGAAACGGATCTCGGCTCCACGGAGCTTGACCTTGTGGCCGTCGGGCGGCTGTTGGAAACTGCGCTGGGAGATGTCGAACTTCTCCGAACAGAACTTCTCTGATGCGTCTCTGGCCATGTTGCGGAGCAGAAGCGCGCCTTCTGCCAGCTTCCCAGCAGCAGCAGCGTGATCAGCAAACTGAATTGGAAGTCCTTGGCCTGGTCCGACACTGTGCCGGGGACGACGCTGGTAAGGTCTTTGATGATGAATTCATCGCGGTGCTCGGCCATCTTCTGGGAGAGGACCTCTGCAGCGAGCTGGCGAACGTAGTCGTCCTGACAAAACTCCCCGTCGCTGTCGACCTCGAGCCAATCTGCGCGCGCAAGCAGCATCTGGGCGACCTGAAGCGGCATCAGGAGGATAATCGCCAGCAGCACAAGTATCAGCACCGCCACTTCTCGCATCGTCCAGATCATCTCTCGCAGCGGCTGCGCCAGTGTTGCGCTTGGGCCTCTTGTTCGTGAGCTTCGCGCCGAGCGGGCGCTTGGGGGCTGTGACTGCATCACAGGGCATGCGAAGTAGCGGCCGACAGCGAGCGAAGACTCTTGGCCCCAGCAACGTGTAGCTCGACTGGGGTTGCCTGAAGCGGATCCTGGCCTCGGGCTAGAGGTATCCACGCTCTGTCCGAGGGACAAGGCCATCTTGAGCCAACATGGCTACGGAGGAGGAGGAGGAGGAAAAGGAGGAGATTGAGGAGGGAGAAAAAGAGGAAGAGGAGGAGAGATGAGGAGGGAACGGGAAGGGGGAACACGAGGAAAATGACGGAAGGAGACGGAAGAAGGCACCTTGGGCCGAGGTTGAGGGTCGCCTTTGGCAGTTCCCGCCAAAACCCTCGGCCCTCCCTGGCCCCGCGGGCCTGCGACGCGGGCTCCCGCGCGGAGGCGGGGGGCTGCGCCGCCCGCCCAGGGGCCGCCTGCGGCGCGGGCCCGAGCAGCTCCTCGGGCGGATTCGTCGCCGTCGCGGCAGGTCGTCGCCGTTGCCGCCGCCGTCGTGGTCGTGGAGGCGGTGGTCGTGATCGCCTTCGTCGGGGTGGCGGAGGTGTCGTCGTAGTCGCCGTCGTGGGGGGGAGGAGGAGGAGGAGGAGGAGGAGGAGGAGGAGGAGGAGGAGGAGGAGGAGGAGGAGGAGGAGGAGAAGGAGGAGGAGGAGGAGGAGGAGGAGGAGGAGGAGGAGGACGAGGAGGAGGAGAGAGGAGGAGGAGGAGGAGGAGGAGGAGGAGAGGAAGAGGAGAAGGAGGGGAGGAGGAGGAGGCGGAGGATGAGGAGAAGGAGGAGGGGGAGGACGCGGCTGGGGAGGAGGAGGATGAGGTAGACCACACCACAAGACAACTGCGCGTCGCGTTCGTGGGGCGCCGTCAAGCCGGGAGGGGAGATGCTGGGGGACCTCTCGGAGGTGTGTGGCGGCGCTTCGGCCGCACCAGGGACCTTGACACCCAAGGATTTCGATGGGTCCTCAAGTCGCCTGGCATCGCGCATCGCGCCCCGCAGTGCGCGGTTATCTCCGCGCACTCGCGCCGGCCCTGAAAAAAGGCCACCTCGCTGGCCCAGGCCGCGACGCGCGGAGCACAATCGTCTTCGCGCCCCTGGGGGTGACCTAATCTTCTGGGTTGGGAAGCCGTGGGTTTTTCATCGCGTTTGGGGCTGCGGCGCCTGCTACCATTCCAGCGCCAAGCCACGGGTCGGCACCAGGAGGGCTGGGTCGGGAACAGCGGGAGTCGTGACCGAGAGGCATGTCAATGACCCACGGGGCGTGAAGGGAGTTGTACCTCTGTGGGAGCTGGTGCGTATGCTGGGCGGCAGGAATGCCAGTGAGTCGCAGCGCACAAGAATGCTGACAACAACCACAAAAGGGCGGAGGTGCTCAAACCGAACAGTCGTCTCGTTTCGTGAGTGACGTGCGTGCGGTCGAAGCGAAGCTGAGCGAATTCCTGCCCCAATAAAAACCCAATCGGACCGACAGGGGGTCGCCCCTGGTCTGGTTTGTAGATCCCGAGTGCCCCCAGGTTGCCCCGATAGACCAAACTAGCTAAAATGGTTGTCCCGATGGTTGCCTCGATGGTTGTCCCGCTGGTTGCCCGTAGTACCTATGCGGCCCCGATGGTTGTCCTGATGGATGTCCTGGTAGTTGTCCCGATGGTTGTTCCGATGCTTGTCCCGATGGTTGTTCGGATGGTCGTCCCGATGGTTGACCCGATGATTGTCCTGTTCGTTGTCTCGATGGTTTTCCTTGATGGAGGTCCCGATGGTTGTCCCGCTGGTTGCCCTGTTGGTTGTCCTGATTACTGCGCCAATGATTGTCCCTTATAGTTGTCCCCAATGGTTGTCCGTATGGTTGTCCTGTTGGTTGTCCCGATGGTTGCTGTCTGGATGGTTGTCCCTCGTGGTTGTCACGATAAATACCCCGATGGTTGTCCCGATGGTCGTTGTCTGGATGGTTGTCCCGATGGTTGACCCAATGATTGTTCGGATGGTTGTCCCGATGGTTGTTCCCATGGTTGTCCCGATGGTTGTCCCGATGGTTGTCCCGATGGTTGACCCGATGGTTGTCCAGCTGGTTGCCCTGTTGGTTGTCCGGATGGTTGTCCCGATGGTTTTCCTGGATGATTGTCCCTACGGTTGTCCCGATGGTGGTCCCGATGGCTGTCGTGCGGATGGTTGTCCCGATGGTTGTCCCAATGGTTGTTGTCCGGACGGTTGTCCCGATGGTTGCCCCCATGGTTGTTGTCCAGATGGTTGTCTCGATGGTCGTTTCGATGGTTGCGCCGATGATTGTCCCGATGGTTGCGCCGATGGTTGTCCAGATGGTTGTCCTGATGGTTGTCCCGGTGGTTGCCCCGACGGTTGTCCTGGTGCTTGTCCTGATGGTTGACCCTCCAGAGGCCTCGACGGCTGTCCCGACGGCTGTCCACATGGTTGCCTTGATGGTTGTCTCGATGGTTATCCCGATGGCTGTCCCGATAGGGTGCCCCGATGGTTGTCCCGATGGTTGCACAGATGATTGTCCCGATGGTTGCGTCGATGGTTGTCCCGATGGTTGTCCTGAAGGTTGTCCCAATGGGTGTCGCTATGGAAACATCGATGGTTGCCCCGATGGTTGTCCCGATGGTTGTCCCGCTGGATATGCCAATTGTTGTTCCGCGTATTGTCCCGATGGTTGTCCTGGTTGTGCCCCAATTGTCGTCCAGATGGTTGTCCTCGATGGTTGTCATGTTGGTTGTCTCGATGGTTGTTGTCCGGATGATTGTTCTGACGGTTGTCCGGATGTTTCTCCCGATGATTGCCCTGGTGGTTGCCCCCAAAGAAGCCTCGATTTTTGTCTGGATGGCTGTCCAATGGTTGTCTCGATGGTTGTTCTGGTGGTTGTCCCAATAGTTTTCCCGATGGTTGTCCAGATGGTTGTCTCGATGGTTGTCCCAATGGTCGTCCCGATGGTTGTCCCGATGGTTGTCCCGATGATTGTCCCGATGGTTGTCGTGATGGCTGTCCCAATTGTTGTCCCGATTGCTGTCACAATGGTTGTCCGGATGTTTGCCCTGGTGACGGCCCCAATGTCTGTCCCCAAGTAGGCCTCGATTGTTGTCCCGATGGCTGTCCCAGTGGCTGTCTGGATGGTTGTCCCGGTGGTTGTCCCGATGGTTGTCTGGATGCTTGTGCGGATGGTTGTCCGGATGGTTGTCTGGATGGTTGTCCCGATGGTTGTCCCGATGGTTATCCCGATGGTTGTCCCGATGGTTGTTGTCCAGACGGCTGTCCTGGGTGTTGGTGGTCCCAGGTTGTTGTCCCTATGGCTGTTCTGATGTTTGTCCCGATGGCTGTCCCAATTGTTGTCCCGATGGTTGTCCCGATGGTTGTCCTGCTGGTTGCCCCGTTTGTTGTTGTCCCAATGGTTGTCCCGATGGTTGTCCTGATGGTTGCCCCGATGGTTGTCTCCGATGGTTGTCCCCATGGTTGCCCCGATGATTGTCCCGATGGTGTCCCGATGGTTGCCATGGTTGTCCCTATGGTTGTTCGGATGGTTGTCCCGATGGTTCTCCCTATGGTGGTCCCGATGGTTGTTCGGATGGTTGTCCTGATGTTTGTCCCGATGGTTGCCCCCCAGTGGTTGTCCCGATGGTTGTCCCGATGGTCGTTTCGATGGTTGCGCCGATTGTTGTCCAGATGGTTGTCCCAATGGTTGTATAAACCGTATATGCCCTATAAGCCCGATGATCTCCGTCAATCATATAAACCCTATAAGCCGTACGAACCATACAAGCCAAACGAACCCTATAAACCTTATACGCCCTTTTCTTCCCTGTACGACGCTATACACCCTATCAACCCTGCAAGTCTCTTCAACTCTATAACCGATGTAGGCCCTATCATGCCGATGAGCCTTACAGGCCCGACCCTGCGAGTTTTGATTCGAGGCCCTGGTCGTGGGGGTGCGTGGGCGATGGCCGCGCCGTGCGGCGAAATCGCCAACCAAAAGAAGACGATAGGGGAGAGGGATCGAGGCTCGAGGAGGATGGATGATCGAGGGGGAGGAGGTTCGAGGATCGAAATCTTGGGGCGTCTTTGGTCTGCTTCGGGCCTTTGGAGGCCCCTGGGGATTTGTGGGGACTGCCAGGGACCCAGACATCCGAATACTACTGTTTCACTTTGCGGCCCCAGAAATCCCGACCCCTTCCCCCTTGAGCGTTGCTTATCGGTGGGGCAATAAACGGAGGGCGAAGAGAGACACTCCTTTGGCGCATCTTCGGGGTCCCCAAGGCTTCTTTTGTGCCCTTTTTCTGCAACCTTCGATCGCCCCTCGCTTGCCGCTCCCCTATTCCGAAGCGTCCGGCCCCGGGGTCGGGTGTCCGTCCCAGAACAACTTTTGATTGTCGGGGGCCCCGAGAACGGTCCGTGGAAAACCAGCGAGGCTGAACTAATCGCATGACTCGAAATTTGGGGACATCCAGGGGGCCCTGGAAAAACCCAGAGACCCAAGCATCTGGCATCACCTTTTCTTCGCGACACAGGAACCTGCTGACCTCCCGACCACGTCCCTTGGAGTGGCTTCCCGTTCCCGGCAATTCATTGACGTCTCATGGTGCCCAGAGATCGGCGGCCGCAGTAGGGCTAGATCGCCCAAGGGGGGGGTGCATGTACCCAGGGGCTCCAACCGCCCATGCCTTCGACGAGGCTCCCTGGCGAACGCTCACAATGCCGGCGCGTAGGCTATCCACCCCTCTTGCCCCAGCCGAAGAGTGCTCCAGCAGGCCGAAAACAGCTACAGACCTCTGGCGCTGTGCGTGCCCTTGCGGAGTAATTCGTCTGGCCACTGTCATGACGTTGGACCACTTGGGGCGACATCCTGTGTCTCTCGTGTGCCGCTCGTGTGCGCGCGAGTTCGCCAGCCTCTCCTCCATCCCTTTCCCCTCCTCCTCCTCCGTCCTCCGCATCCGTTGTCCGTCCTCGGGCGTGGTCGTGGGCGCGCCTGGGATTCGTCAACATCGTCCGGCGCAGAGGCCGCTGCTCGCCGGGCAAGCGACCTGGAAACGAATGGCCCTGACCGCGCCCGCACTTGTGTCTAGCGTGATGCGGGGGGGCGAAGACGAGGTTCAAGGGTGGAGAACGACAGAAACGAAAAAGAGAGAGCGTTGGGGCCCAGGCCCCAACGATCTTATCGGAACAGGCGATCGCATGATGTCGTTGGGGCCTGAGGCCCCAAAATACCGCGCGGCCTAGGGGGGCCCAGAAGGATCTCCAAAAAGGCCCCTAGAGAGCCCCCGAACCCGTATTGGGCCGTTTGTGCGGCCCTCTGGGGGCTTTCCTGGGGCCCCTGGCGACAACAGAGCTGGAGCTATTCTTCCATCCCCCCCCCCGTCCACACCCCTTTTCCACGGGCAGCGGCTGCCCCCTTCTCTGTTTCACTGCGCGCGGCGACACTTCCCTGATCACGGCGATTCGCCCAGG